TATGTGTGCCGGTTCGGTGCCGCTGGTGTGTGTGTGTGTGTGCAGGTTCGGTGTGTACGTACCGCTGGTGTGTGTAATGTGTGTGTGTGTGCAGGTTTGGTGTGTACGTGCCGCTGGTGTGTGTGTGTGTGTGTGTGTGTGTGTGTGTGTGTGTGCAGGTTCGGTGTGTACGTGCCGCTGGTGTGTGTGTGTGTGTGTGCAGGTTCGGTGTGTACGTGCCGCTGGTGTGTGTGTGTGTGTGTGTGTGTGTGTGTGTGTGTGCAGGTTCGGTGTCGCTGGTGTGTGTGTGTGTGCAGGTTCGGTGTGTATGTGCCGCTTGTGTGTGTGTGTGTGTGTGCAGGTTCGGTGTGTACGTGCCGCTGGTGTGTGTGTGTGTGCAGGTTCGGTGCCGCTGGTGTGTGTGTGTGTGTGTGTGTGTGTGTGCAGGTTCGGTGTGTACGTGCCGCTTGTGTGTGTGTGTGCAGGTTCGGTGTGTACGTGCCGCTGGTGTGTGTGTAATGTGTGTGTGTGTGTGTGCAGGTTGGGTGTGTATGTGCCGCTGGTGTATGTGTAATGTGTGTGTGTGTGTGTGTGCAGGTTCGGTGTGTACATGCTGCTGGTGTGTGTGTGTAATACGTGTGTGTGTGCAGGTTGGGTGTGTACGTGCCGCTTGTGTGTGTGTGTGCAGGTTCGGTGTGTACATGCTGCTGGTGTGTGTGTGTAATACGTGTGTGTGTGCAGGTTGGGTGTGTACGTGCCGCTTGTGTGTGTGTGTGTGTGCAGGTTCGGTGTGTACGTGCCGCTGGTGTATGTGTAATGTGTGTGTGTGTGTGTGCAGGTTCGGTGTGTACATGCCGCTGGTGTGTGTGTGTAATACGTGTGTGTGTGCAGGTTCGGTGTGTACGTGCCGCTTGTGTGTGTGTGTGCAGGTTCGGTGTGTACGTGCCGCTGGTGTGTGTGTAATGTGTGTGTGTGTGTGTGTGTGTGTGCAGGTTGGGTGTGTATGTGCCGCTGGTGTATGTGTAATGTGTGTGTGCAGGTTCGGTGTGTACATGCCGCTGGTGTGTGTGTGTAATACGTGTGTGTGTGTGCAGGTTGGGTGTGTACGTGCTGCTGGTGTGTGTGTGTAATGTGTGTGTGTAATGTGTGTGTGTGCAGGTTCGGTGTGTACGTGCCGCTGGTCTGCTTCCACCAGGAGTCTCGGTCCCCGTCGGACTGCGTGTTCTCGGAGCCGGACGGGTCTGATGTTCCTCTGAGACCCAAACCGTTCCTGGCGCTCCTGCGGGAACACCTGCGGGATCAGCTCTGTGGCTCCGCCCCCATCCCCGCCCACTCCTGCCCCCCCTCTCCCCCGTCCCCGGACCGGATCCGCTCCGAAGTCCAGCAGCTCAAGACCGACTTCAACCGCCGCATCAAAGAAGTGCTGTTCAACTCGCTGTTCAGCGCGTACTACGTGGCCTTCCTCCCGCTGTGCTTCGTCAAGGTGAGCGCCGGCCTCAACGAGTCTAACCCTGACCCTCGTCCTGTTCTGAGTCTATATAACCCTGACCCTTGTCCTGTTCTGAGTCTATATAACCCTGACCCTCGTCCTGTTCTGAGTCAATATAACCCTGACCCTCGTCCTGTTCTGAGTCTCTATAACCCTGACCCTCGTCCTGTTCTGAGTCTATATAACCCTGACCCTCGTCCTGTTCTGAGTCTATATAACCCTGACCCTCGTCCTGTTCTGAGTCTCTATAACCCTGACCCTCGTCCTGTTCTGAGTCTATATAACCCTGACCCTCGTCCTGTTCTGAGTCTATATAACCCTGACCCTCGTCCTGTTCTGAGTCTATATAACCCTGACCCTCGTCCTGTTCTGAGTCTATATAACCCTGACCCTCGTCCTGTTCTGAGTCTCTATAACCCTGACCCTCGTCCTGTTCTGAGTCTATATAACCCTGACCCTCGTCCTGTTCTGAGTCTATATAACCCTGACCCTCGTCCTGTTCTGAGTCTCTATAACCCTGACCCTCGTCCTGTTCTGAGTCTATATTACCCTGACCCTCGTCCTGTTCTGAGTCTATATAACCCTGACCCTCGTCCTGTTCTGAGTCTCTTCTGAGTCTCTATAACCCTGACCCTCGTCCTGTCTGAGTCTATATAATCCTGACCCTCGTCCTGTTCTGAGTCTATATAACCCTGACCTTCGTCCTGTTCTGAGTCTATATAATCCTGACCCTCGTCCTGTTCTGAGTCTCTATAACCCTGACCCTCGTCCTGTTCTGAGTCTATATAACCCTGACCCTCGTCCTGTTCTGAGTCTATATAACCCTGACCCTCGTCCTGTTCTGAGTCTCTATAACCCTGACCCTCGTCCTGTCTGAGTCTATATAATCCTGACCCTCGTTCTGTTCTGAGTCTATATAACCCTGACCCTCGTCCTGTTCTGAGTCTATATAACCCTGACCCTCGTCCTGTTCTGAGTCTATATAACCCTGACCCTCGTCCTGTTCTGAGTCTATATAACCCTGACCCTCGTCCTGTTCTGAGTCTATATAACCCTGACCCTCGTCCTGTTCTGAGTCTATATAACCCTGACCCTCGTCCTGTTCTGAGTCTATATAACCCTGACCCTCGTCCTGTTCTGAGTCTATATAACCCTGACCCTCGTCCTGTCTGAGTCTATATAATCCTGACCCTCGTCCTGTCTGAGTCTATATAATCCTGACCCTCGTCCTGACCCAACGACTAAAACACTGTATTCTGCTGCCAGGCCATTAGATGGCGATTAAACACTATAGACTGAACACAGAATATGGGCATGACGTCATCGTCTTCAGAGATTTGTGTTTTTGTTGTTTACACCGACAACGTTTTCAAAACTTTGCGTTTTCAGGCACCTAAAACGCCGTTGTCGTGTAAACGAACAGCCAAAACGCTTAAGTTTTACGTTTTTAGTTGAAAACGGTGTCGTGTAAACAGCCCCTTAGTTCGATGCCAAATTTCAGTTGTGTACATATTAAGTTAAACTTTGCAACTTTGTATTGAAGCATAACTAATTTTCATTTTTGCCTGAACCATGTAGTCTCGTACAGTTGATGTGTGTGTGTGTGTGTGTAAAGCTGACGGTGCTTTAAGGGGGTGAACTGGGCGGCGCAGCTGTCAGTGTGTCTCAGTGTGACGCTTGCGTGCTGTTTTCCAGAGTACGCAGTACTACGACATGCGCTGGTCCTGCGAGCACCTGATCATGGTGTGGATCAACGCCTTCGTGATGCTGATGAGCCAGTTGCTGCCGCCCCGGTACTGCGACCTTCTGCACCGCTCCGCTGCGCACCTGGGCCGATGGCAGAGGCTGGAACCCGGCTCCGGCAGCAACGCCCCGCAGCACATGTGAGCGCTCGCACCATCTCTTCACATCTCACACTGAACACAAACGACTGATAATTCTGTATTATGCAGCCAGACAAGTCATTTGGCGATCTTTACAATGGAAGTGAATCAATCAAAACTAACTTTATCTGGACAATAACTTTATTCTAGAGCTGCTGTAAAGCCAAACACTCTCTGTTACTGTAATCTCCTGTTATCACTGTAAAGCTGCTGTGAAACTCTATAGTGTTAAAGCAATGTATACATGAGTGTGTGTGTGTGTACAGCTGGTCCGACAGCACCATCTGGCCGCAGGGAGTTCTGGTTCGGCACAGTCGCTGCCTCTATAAGGCCGTCGGGCCGTGTAACGTGGCCTTGCCCTCCGACGTCTCGCACGCCAGGTTTTATGTGAGTATCTGTCACCTCCCCTTTACTTATGATGGAGAGTGAGTGTGTGAGTGAGTGTGTGTGAGTGAGTGAGTGTGTGAGTGTGTGAGTGTGTGAGTGAGTGTGTGAGTGAGTGTGTGAGTGAGTGTGTGAGTGTGTGTGTGAGTGTGTGTGTGAGTGAGTGTGTGAGTGAGTGTGTGTGAGTGAGTGTGTGTGAGTGAGTGTGTGTGAGTGAGTGTGTGAGTGAGTGTGTGAGTGAGTGTGTGAGTGAGTGTGTGAGTGAGTGTGTGAGTGAGTGTGTGAGTGTGTGAGTGTGTGAGTGAGTGAGTGAGTGAGTGAGTGAGTGAGTGAGTGAGTGTGTGAGTGAGTGTGTGAGTGAGTGTGTGAGTGTGTGAGTGAGTGAGTGTGTGAGTGAGTGTGTGAGTGAGTGTGTGAGTGAGTGTGTGAGTGAGTGTGTGAGTGAGTGTGTGAGTGAGTGTGTGAGTGAGTGTGTGAGTGAGTGAGTGTGTGAGTGTGTGAGTGTGTGAGTGAGTGTGTGAGTGAGTGTGTGAGTGAGTGTGTGAGTGAGTGTGTGAGTGAGTGTGTGAGTGAGTGTGTGAGTGAGTGTGTGAGTGAGTGTGTGAGTGAGTGTGTGAGTGAGTGTGTGAGTGAGTGTGTGAGTGAGTGTGTGAGTGAGTGTGTGAGTGAGTGTGTGAGTGAGTGTGTGAGTGAGTGAGTGAGTGTGTGAGTGTGTGAGTGTGTGAGTGAGTGTGTGAGTGAGTGAGTGAGTGAGTGAGTGAGTGAGTGAGTGAGTGAGTGAGTGAGTGAGTGAGTGAGTGAGTGAGTGAGTGAGTGAGTGAGTGAGTGAGTGAGTGAGTGAGTGAGTGAGTGTGTGTGAGTGGGTGTGTGAGAGTGAGTGTGTGAGTGAGTGTGTGAGTGAGTGAGTGAGTGAGTGAGTGAGTGAGTGAGTGAGTGTGTGAGTGAGTGTGTGAGTGAGTGTGTGAGTGAGTGAGTGAGTGAGTGAGTGAGTGAGTGTGTGAGTGTGTGAGTGAGTGAGCGAGTGAGTGAGCGAGTGAGTGAGCGAGTGAGTGAGCGAGTGAGTGAGCGAGTGAGTGAGCGAGTGAGTGAGCGAGTGAGTGAGCGAGTGAGTGAGCGAGTGTGTGAGCGAGTGTGTGAGCGAGTGTGTGAGCGAGTGTGTGAGCGAGTGAGTGAGCGAGTGTGTGAGCGAGTGAGTGTGCGAGTGAGTGTGCGAGTGAGTGAGCGAGTGAGTGAGTGAGCGAGTGAGTGAGAGTGAGTGAGTGAGTGAGTGAGTGAGTGAGTGGGTGAGTGAGTGAGTGGGTGAGTGAGTGTGTAAGTGGGTGAGTGAGTGAGTGTGTGTGAGTGAGTGTGTGTGAGTGAGTGTGTGAGTGAGTGTGTGAGTGAGTGTGTGAGTGAGTGTGTGAGTGAGTGTGTGAGTGAGTGTGTGAGTGAGTGTGTGAGTGTGTGAGTGAGTGTGTGAGTGAGTGTGTGAGTGTGTGAGTGAGTGTGTGAGTGAGTGTGTGAGTGTGTGAGTGAGTGTGTGAGTGAGTGTGTGAGTGAGTGTGTGAGTGAGTGAGTGAGTGAGTGTGTGAGTGAGTGTGTGAGTGAGAGTGTGAGTGAGAGTGTGAGTGAGTGTGTGAGTGAGTGTGTGAGTGAGTGTGTGAGTGAGTGTGTGAGTGAGTGTGTGAGTGAGTGTGTGAGTGTGTGAGTGAGTGAGTGTGTGAGTGAGTGTGTGAGTGAGTGAGTGAGTGCTGGGTATCTGTGGGTCAGTTATAAACCCCTCACTCACTGTCAATGATTTTCTGTGGATGAAAAAGAGTGTGTTGAAGAATCTTCGGCAGAGACTCGTGTGTCCGCTGTCAGTGTGTGGCGCTCGAACCCTGCGGCCGATTGTAATCATTTCACTGGTCATCATGTCAATCCCCATCCATGATGTTTCTGAACGTCTCATGCCTGATCGAGCTGACCAATGAAACGGCTGCGTTTGGGGAAAGGGTTAAACATCAGTTGTTTGTCAGTGATGAAGGCTTAGATCTGACTGTGTGTGTGTGTGTGTGTGAAGAGCGTCTTCGGTCGTGTGTTCAGAGGCCGGTGTCATGAAGCTGGTCTGGTGCGTTTCAGTTTAGCTTGTGCTAACCCTGGGTTAGGGAATTTATTTTATCTTATTATTTCCCTAACTTATTTATTTAATTATTATTCTCCTTTTTCATTACACATGATACATTTTAGTTTAACAATTAAACATTTAGTATAAATGAATATAAATATATACAGATAATTTATAATAAATATGATTTGCTTAAGATAGATAAAGCTTTAAAAGTGACTACATGCGCTTGCATGCCCCAGTCTCTGTGTCGCTATAGATATATATATGATGAACTACTTAAACGAACTTCACAGCTCTCACTCGGACTGATATAGCAGGATATTTTCTTCTTGCTGTGTAAATGTTTGTACGCCTCACATTGATCAGTGTCCAGATCTCGGCAGAAGACAGAACTGAAGCACGCGGAGTCTGTTCATGGCCTGTGATTGGCTGTTCGCTGCTGATGTCACTGTCATGAGCTCAGGATCAAAGCCTGAGTTGATGATCAGCTTCATGGTACCAACTAAGCCTGATTGGATTGTTGTGGAAACTAATCCCATAAGCCTGAGTGTGTTCAGCCGTCATCATGGCGCTGGGTTGGATCAGTGTTCCTGGAGGCACACCACCACTGCACATCTCCCACTCCTGACTCCCTGACCCTGACCCAGTCCAGGTCTCTCTGAGGAGATGTGCGCTGGTGCTGTGCCTCCAGGTGTAGAGGATGAACTGATTCTAGTGAGTTCTGATCGTGTGTTTAACCGGACCTTCAGTTCCTCACGCTGATTAATGCTTGTGTTTCCCTCGGTCCAGTTCCTGTTCCACAAGCCGCTGCGGATCCTGAACCTGCTGATCGGGATCGAGTCGAGTGTGGTTCTGTACCAGCTGTACTCGCTGCTGCGGTCCGAGCGCTGGAACCACACGCTGTCGCTCGGACTCATCCTCTTCTGCAACTACTACGTGCTGTTCAAGCTCCTGCGGGACCGGCTGGTTCTGGGCAAGGCGTACTCGTACCCGCCGGGCCACGGCCTGCCCGTCAAGACGCCCTGAGACTCGGACTCTCGCTTTTGATACCGTCTGTTTTCATGCAACCTTTGTATCTATTTAATAAAATATTTTATTTTGTATACTGTTACACACGACTAGAAGACGGGCGTTACGTGTCCGGCGCGATGGCGTATCCTGACGCCGATGTTTAGTCGCCCGCGTCGCTCACGACGTCCGAATTCTGCCAAAGATTGAAAAAAGAAACAAAACTGGAAGAGCTAATGCTGGCCAATCACGAGGACGGACTGGACGGGGCGGTCCGGTTCATCGCCAATGCTGGACGGTCACTTACACTCTTAAGTATTATCTGTTCTAAGCATCTTGTGTGTCCACTTGGTTTCAATCCATCTCTGTTGATAAACTGCACCGACCGGATCTGGTTTAAAGCTTGAGCGATCAGCATCTCCATTTGCCGTTCATGTTAACTCTGTGCCAAATCCCAGGGGGCCGTGGGGCATCAGGAGTGGGCGTGGCCACGCGAGCTGTGGGCGGAGCCACGCACTGTCAAGCTTGCAGTATTTTATAAAACCACTTTTGTTTCAAAGTTCCAATGACATCCAGAATAAATGACAGAACCAGCTCAAGTGCCCGTGTGTGTCAGATCATCATCACTACACTCACGTCGGGTCATATTTCCCTGCAAGACCAATATAAGAAACCATCAGGAAGATTTTTGACGTGATGATAGTATGTTTGGGTTTGCTTCTTATCAAATTATCTTTATTTTAATTGGAAATTAGCTTAACTTCAAAGTAAGAAAAGCCTTAAAGGGATACTCCACCAGTTTTTCTTATTAAACTATGTTATTCCCTTAACTAAGACGAGTTGATACATACCTCTCTCGTCTCAGTGCGTGCACTATATCGCTCTGTATTGCCGCAAAACTATGTTAGCACTTAGCTTAGCCCATGCATTAAATATGGGCCAAGCAGAGAAGCGACCAAACACTTCCACGTTTTCCCTATGTAAACACAGTTACTCGAGTAGTGTAACTTGACCTGGGCTGGTGACACAAAATAAACCGTTGCGCTTTTCTAAGCGTTTAAAATTGATGACTATATTGTATGGCGGAATACCATAACAAGTGCTTTTGAGCACTTCGACTTGGCGCAATAATATCTTCACTCGTGAAAAGTCCCGGCTCCCGCTTCCTCTCCCCTCCCTCTGACATTTCCGTCAATACAACCAACGTGACATGCGCCGGTAGTAGTAGTTTGAGCGGAGTTGACGAAGTAACAGGTTGTTGGAAGCTAGTTTGTATACAATAATGGTTAAAACGTGCATCGTAAAGGGTTGTGAAAATAAGGAGAATGTACATAGTGCTGTCATTTTTCACCGAATTCCAACACACCACATACAGCGGAGAGCTTGGTTAGCTGCTTTCGGGAAAGCTCCGGTCTGTTCTGGATCATATCTTTCCCTCTCACGGTCCATAAGAGCTAATTCCTCCTCTGTGTACTCGGGTTCAAACAGATATGGCTCTGGGTCTTCTACAAAGAAGTCATAATCATCTACAAAGTCCGCCATTGCAAATGATCTGCAGTTTGCTAATAGCACAGCACAGGTAGTAAAAGTCACGTTGGTTGTATTGACGGAAATGTCAGAGGGAGGGGAGAGGAAGCGGGAGCCGGGACTTTTCACGAGTGAAGATATTATTGCGCCAAGTCGAAGTGCTCAAAAGCACTTGTTATGGTATTCCGCCATACAATATAGTCATCAATTTTAAACGCTTAGAAAAGCGCAACGGTTTATTTTGTGTCACCAGCCCAGGTCAAGTTACACTACTCGAGTAACTGTGTTTACATAGGGAAAACGTGGAAGTGTTTGCTCGCTTCTCTGCTTGGCCCATATTTAATGCATGGGCTAAGCTAAGTGCTAACATAGTTTTGCGGCAATACAGAGCGATATAGTGCACGCACTGAGACGAGAGAGGTATGTATCAACTCATCTTAGTTAAGGGAATAACATAGTTAAATAAGAAAAACTGGTGGAGTATCCCTTTAAAACCATGATCTGTTTCCTTCTGATTTTCAGGTGAGATATGTTCTCGACGAGCGTTGTGGTTTTTGTGTGTATCTGATGTCTAATCTGTTCAGTTCCAGCAGCCATTTCTCTTACTCAGTGGTGCTATTTTTTTGCAAAAGCTTTTAATGTGTTGTAACAGAGGACATTAAAACTCTGAAAGTAATTAGTGTCATTGAATGAATATCCACTGGTTTACAGTGTGTGTGTGTGGAGATCTGCAGAACTGTCTCTCACCACCAGAGGGAAACACAGGATCTCGTACAGTAGTTCTCAGACATTAGCAGAAACATTAGCATTTCCATTCAAACATCAGTAGAGAAAACCAGTCCTTCACCAGTGCCTTTCTGTCCCAGTCCTTCACCAGTGCCTTTCTGTCCCAGTCCTTCACCAGTGTCCATCCAGAACATCTTCCTCTAATGGTCACACTTTATATCAGGTGTCTTTATGTACTTGCATAAATAATAATTGTTAGGTTCAGTGTTGGTGTTGTGTTTCAGACACTCTTGAGGTGGGATGCGGGGAACAACAGTACGGGTAAGGTTAAAGGTCAACAGTAATTACATGTAGGCAGTTCTAAAATAGAAATACAATTGTATGAACACAATAATTGCATTGTAATAAAATTATTAATGTAAATGCAAGTACATAGTAGTTAAAGACACTTAATATAAAGTGGGTCCCCTTTAGTTTGTCTTTAAGAGCTTTCAGATAAAAATCAAACAGTCATAAAACACTATATTATAATGAAATAAGTTTAAGTTTAAATGAACATTATTGGAAAAACATTCTTTGGCACAACCTTCCTTTTGTACAAGAATGGCTTAAAGGGATAGTTCACCCAAAAATGAAAATTATCCCATGATTAACAGCCGTCTGCCGGAAGCTGGTTATTATAGTCGATAAAGTTTTAAATATGGATATTTTTCTTACACAAACTTATCGCTTCACTTCAGAAGGCCTTTATTAACCCCTCGGAGCCTGTGGAGCACTTTATCATGGACAGATGCACTTTTATCATGGATAGATGCACTTTGATGGACTTCAAAACAGAAACGGTCATTCACTGCCATTATAAAGCTGGGAAGAGCCAGGACATTTTTTTAATAAAACTCTGATTGTGTTCGTCTGAAAGAAGAATGTCATACACACCTAGGATGACTTGAGGGTGAGCAAATCATGGGCTAATTTTCATATTTGGGTGAACTATCCCTTTAACAAGTCTTTAAAAACAGTGTCTTATAGCATGTTGATGCTTCAGTATGTTCTTGTATATTGCTGGACTGAAACTCTCCTGCATATGTAAGAGAATCTTCAGTGCTAATAAAGTGAATGAAGCCGGCGCTCCTCAACCTTCTCTGCAGTCCACGTAGTTCCCCTTGATCCAGTAGCAGATCTGGGCGTATTTGAGCGGCGTGATGCGCACCGCCACGTTGAACTCCTGAGGCGACCCGCTGAGATCCACCCGCTGGTGTCCGGAGAAGATCCCGATGACCTTGCGCTCCCAGCGCTGGCGTGTGCGGCTCCACATGCGGGCGTAGACGCCGGATCCGCTAGCGCCGGGCTGAGCGTCGCAGCGCTGGTACAGCAGGTCGTAGGTCTCGTCCGAAGCCCGGCAGAAGCGGTACACCAGCTGACCGGGCCGGTCGGTGTCGAAGCCGGAGAACTGGACCCGCTTCCCGGGCAGCAGCGCGGCGGAGGGACTGATGCCTAGCTTCATGTGCCGGCGCCGGTGCGCCTTCTTCAGCTCCAGCAGGGCGTAGTCGTAGTCCATGCCGATGTCGTTAGCGGTGCCCTTGATCCAGCCCTTCGGCACGTGTGTGCGCTTCACCCGGATCCACTGGAACTTCATCCGGTCCGGTCTGCCGGTCGTGCCGTTTCTGCCCGACGGATGTTTCTGCTGCTTCAGGAACCCGACCCTCAGCCTCTGGGCTCCTTTCACGTAGTTCTTGCCGTCATGGACGCAGTGCGCCGCCGTTAGCACATGTCGTTCGCCCACTAGCGTCCCCGAGCACCCGGTCGACAGTTTCACCGCGGTGGAGAACGGGTAGTTTAAGAGGAAGTCCTGCCCAACGATACTGAAGCGGCCGTCGTGGCCGAAGATCTGGCGTTTGGGTCGGGAGCGACTGGCAGGCGTCTGGGTGAAGCTGTTAGCGTCGAACCCGTATATTCCCACGGCGGTCTGAGTTAGCCGGCCGCTGGAGTGCAGCGTCTCGTAGGACAGGCGGAGCCGCAGGGCCGAGGCGCTGGGTGGAGCCGCGCGCCGGTGGCAGGCCGGCCCGCAGGAAGTGCTGAGCTCCAGCTGAGGCGCCCGCAGGAAGTGAGGCGGCGCCCGGTCCTCCGTGTGCTGAGCCCAGATCACCGGCACCCGCTGGACGGGCCACTGGGGCCCCGGGGCCGCACCGGCCGACAGCAGCAGCAGCAGCGCCAGCAGAGCGGGGCCGAGAGAACACGCCATCAGCACACCTGAGAGCAGAGCAGGTAAACATCAGTCACACACGCTGTTAAAGAGCTTTTCCATCGGTCTTTAGTGAGTAAAGGCCCTTGCACACTAAATACGACCTCACGTTATGTCAATCACGCTTGCGCACTGCCTCCGAACGGGACGAGGGAACGGGACGAGGGAACGGGTCGAGGGAATGGGACGAGGGAACGGGTCGAGGGAACGGGACGAGGGAACGGGACGAGGGAACGAGCCGAGGACGAGGGAACGGGACGAGGGAACGGGACGAGGGAACGAGCCGAGGACGAGGGAACGAGCCGAGGGAACGAGCCGAGGGAACGGGCCGAGGGAACGGGCCGAGGGAACGGGCCGAGGGAACGGGCCGAGGGAACGGGCCAAGGAAACGGGACGAGGTAACTAGCCGAGGGAACGGGCCGAGGGAACGGGCCGAGGGAACGGGCCAAGGAAACGGGACGAGGTAACTAGCCGAGGGAACGGGCCGAGGGAACGGGCCGAGGGAACGGGCCAAGGAAACGGGACGAGGTAACGAGACGAGGGAACGGGCCGAGGGAACGGGCCAAGGAAACGGGACGAGGTAACTAGCCGAGGGAACGAACGGGCCGAGGGAACGGGATGAGGACGAGGGAACGGGAAGAGGGAACGGGCCGAGGGAACGAGCCGAGGGAACGAGCCGAGGGAACGGGCCAAGGGAACGGGCCAAGGAAACGAGACGAGGTAACTAGCCGAGGGAACGAACGGGCCGAGGGAACGGGATGAGGACGAGGGAACGGGAAGAGGGAACGGGACGAGGACGAGGGAACGGGAAGAGGGAACGGGCCGAGGGAACGAGCCGAGGGAACGGGACGAGGGAACGGGCCAAGGGAACGGGACGAGGGAACGAGCCGAGGGAACGGGACGAGGGAACGAACGGGACGAGGGAACGGGACGAGGGAACGAACGGGACGAGGGAACGGGACGAGGGAACGAACGGGACGAGGTAACGGGACGAGGGAACGGGACGAGGGATCGAGACGAGGGAACGAGACGAGGGAACGGGACGAGGGAACGAACGGGACGAGGTAACGGGACGAGGGAACGGGACGAGGGAACGGGACAAGGGAACAAACTGGACGAGGGAACGGGACGAGGTAACGGGACGAGGGAACGAACGGGACGAGGGCACGGGACGAGGGAACGAACGGGACAAGGTAACGGGACGAGGTAACGGGACGAGGTAACGGGACGAGGAAACGGGACGAGGAAACGGGACGAGGAAACGGGACGAGGGAACGGGACGAGGGAACGGGACGAGGGAACGAACGGGACGAGGGAACGGGACGAGGGAACGGGCCGAGGGAACGAACGGGACGAGGGAACGGGACGAGGGAACGAACGGGACGAGGTAACGGGACGAGGTAACGGGACGAGGTAACGGGACGAGGGAACAGGACGAGGAAACGGGACGAGGGAACGGGACGAGGTAACGGGACGAGGTAACGGGACGAGGGAACGGGACGAGGGAACGAACTGGACGAGGGAACGGGACGAGGGAACGAACGGGACGAGGGAACGGGACGAGGGAACGAGCGGGACAAGGTAACGGGACGAGGTAACGGGACGAGGGAACGGGACGAGGAAACGGGACGAGGGAACGGGACGAGGGAACGGGCCGAGGGAACGGGCCGAGGGAACGGGCCGAGGGAACGAACGGGACGAGGGAACGGGACGAGGGAACGAACGGGACGAGGTAACGGGACGAGGGAACGGGACGAGGTAACGGGACGAGGGAACGGGACGAGGGAACGGGCTAAACGCAGCCCATGTCGGTGGAATATTTAAAACAGGTTTTAATGACTCAAGTCAAATATGAGGAAAATGTTTTATTTTTTTGTAAATATTTTAATATGATAATTAATATGATATAATTAATATGAGACAAAAACAAAACACTAAACTTGATTAAGGTATTTATCTGACAAAATTATTTGGCAAAAAAAGGCACACTACAGCTACAGGTTTTATTTTAGTATGCAAAAAAATGTGTAAAAAAGACTAAAAGCTAACAGGAAAAAAGCAAACATTGTTGTAATCAGTTATTAATATTTGGTTGGTTCTCTCTTGTTTGTGCATGTGTTCATAATTTCTTTCTATAACAGTCTGGACAAAAATAATGTCCACACAATTTTTCATGTTTCATTGCGTTAATTTCACAAATAAAAGCACAACTACGCAATATGACTAAAAAATCCTTATTTGAATATGATTAAGATTTGTTAAAGGGTGGAGATGTCAGTGTTCCTCGACTTTACTGTAATTCTGCACAGTTGCAGAACTCTCCTGTGCCAAAGGTCAAAGGTCTCACTGCTGTTTAACAGGCGAATCATGTAAACGCGTTTAATCTTCCAGCCGAGTGCATTACAGCTTCACGTTATTCACCAGGGTCAGAATCCATGGAAATATTTCTGAAGGATGAGTGTGAGAAAATATCCGCTTCCATGACAGCCATGAAAACAGCAGGAATCACCATGGTTACTAAACACACAGGATTCTGATACACAGACCCAGAACTAGATTAGAAACAGAATCTCTAATGAGATGATCGTGATTTACACACACACTGTGAAAAATTATATGATCAATAAGTTATGACAACATGTTTTTACATTGCTTTAACTTTAACAACAGTTTTCAACTTTATTAATATAAGTTAAACAAGATTCAACTTTTTTTTTGTCAGTTTAATGTAATTTAAATTGAAATTTCTTAAACATCCAAGTTCATTGTACTAAAAAATTTAAGGCAGCAATTCAGCGAGTCTCAGGTGAATGTTCAGCGAGTCTCAGGTGAATGTTCAGCGAGTCTCAGGTGAATGTTCAGCGAGTCTCGGGTGAATGTTCAGCGAGTCTCAGGTGAATGTTCAGCGAGTCTCAGGTGAATGTTCAGCGAGTCTCGGGTGAATGTTCAGCGAGTCTCAGGTGAATGTTCAGCGAGTCTCAGGTGAATGTTCAGCGAGTCTCGGGTGAATGTTCAGCGAGTCTCAGGTGAATGTTCAGCGAGTCTCGGGTGAATGTTCAGCGAGTCTCGGGTGAATGTTCAGCGAGTCTCAGGTGAATGTTCAGCGAGTCTCGGGTGAATGTTCAGCGAGTCTCGGGTGAATGTTCAGCGAGTCTCGGGTGAATGTTCAGCGAGTCTCGGGTGAATGTTCAGCGAGTCTCAGGTGAATGTTCAGCGAGTCTCGGGTGAATGTTCAGCGAGTCTCGGGTGAATGTTCAGCGAGTCTCGGGTGAATGTTCAGCGAGTCTCGGGTGAATGTTCAGCGAGTCTCAGGTGAATGTTCAGCGAGTCTCGGGTGAATGTTCAGCGAGTCTCGGGTGAATGTTCAGCGAGTCTCAGGTGAATGTTCAGCGAGTCTCAGGTGAATGTTCGGAGTGGAAGTGATTCTCACCTGTGCGCGCGCGGGTGTGTCGGATATTAAACTGATGAATCCAGTCAAACGAGAGCAGTGTTTCAGGGCATGGAGGAGATCCTGCAGTGTCTACATCTCTCCTCTGTCTGCTGAGTTCTGTTGGGTTCTGCTCGTGCTCGTGCTCCGCGAGTGAATGGCCGTGGGCGCGCCGCTCGTGCCCGAGACTCCTCCGATCACGTGACTCGAGATAAAGAGTCTTTAGATGATCCGCGGAGATTCTGCGTGTTTGTTTTATGATCTATTGCAATAATTCGCCTGGAAAAACCCACTGACTGGGTTTGAGTGGTTTAAATAATGTCGTTAATCTTTCATTTCTTCACTCAGTCTTTCTTTGTCGTGTGTATTTTAATGAATAATTTACCTGTGTTAAATATAAATTAACATAAGCCAAAAATGTTTTATTTTTATTTACATTGTATAAAATGTGTATTTAATGTAACATTAATCCTGTTTTACTGCAGCAGTGTGTGTGTGTATGTATGTGTGTGTGTCTGGTGTGGGAGTGGCAGAGGTTTGTTTGTGTAATGTGTGTGTGTGTGTGTGTGTGTGTGGAGCAGGAGCAGGAGAGCCGGGCTTGACGTCACACTGACACCTGTCAATCACAGCAGGGCGGAAGCTCTTCATCATCAGCTCATTAACCTCCACCTGTGAGTGAGAGACACTTCATCTGAAACAGTTTCTGCTTACATATGAGTGCGTTATATTATTTGTTCTCGTATTTCATAATGCTTTATTTTATTTTTTGCCAAAGAAAAAGCCCAGACACAGCTGTTCGACATGCAGTAGACGACAAAGCACAGAGTGTGAGATACTGTATCCCAGAATGCAGTGCACTTGACTTGACCTTCCACTTCCAGTGTGATGAATGAACAGTAACTAACATTAACCCAATTTGATCTGAATAAGATCATCCAAAACATGCAAATTCTTATTTCCAAAATGATGCAGTGATGAGAGCAATGTAGCGCCGTACTGAAGAGTTTAGTTCAGTTCGCCAGTGTCTTCAGTCTTCAGTCTTCAGTGTTTTCAGTGTCTTCAGTCTTCAGTGTCTTCAGTGTCTTCAGTCTTCAGTGTCTTCAGTCTTCAGTCTTCAGTGTCTTCAGTGTCTTCAGTCTTCAGTGTCTTCAGTGTCTTCAGTCTTCAGTGTCTTCAGTGACATTAACCGCAGTGGTGGGCGACTCCATCTTTAGATGAAAGACTCGTCTGTCTCTCTCAAGACTTCACGTCTGCAGACGCTCCTACGCTGATCTGAGACCTGCTTTCTCTGCACACTTTACCTTTCAGTGTCCAAATGATCTCTGTGATCCAGTGTCAATATGTGCAGATCCGGTCCTACACTGTCAATATGTGTGCTGTTTATTTAAATGCATTTTAATGCATTTTTGCATTCAGTCATTGATTATCACTGATGGAAATATGTGACCGTGAGAAGCGCTGGAGTCGCGCTGAATCACTGCTCTGGCACGCAAGCCCGAGCGAGGAGGTGAAACATCTGCGTTTGAGATGTGAGAGAGTCAATGAGAAAATGGTTAAGACACCTGATGTTTGCCAACTCAATATAAACCGCCTCATGAAGCTGTTTTCCCCACAGATCCATGCCAAAATGATAAACTACTGTGCAAAACAAAATTCCTCTTCTTGTGTGTCTCAAATAAAAGGCCTGTTAATTTACCATTTGCACTATTGCGGAGTTAGAAATAAGAACATCTGGTTTTTGATCCTAGAAAGCGTGACGTCATTTGTAACGAATCCATGTTTAGAGTTGAGGAATTTACAGGCCGAAACCCCCCGCGCTTCCCACAGGAGTCACACACGAGTCCCTGTTCATGTGTTCGGGAACGCTGAGCTGGACACGGAACAACAAGCCAGTCCAAAACAAACCAAAGCGTGTCACTCACTCAGATGTTCTCCAAGCAAATTCCTCCGGGATTAGTGTTTCTGCCAGCGGCTCATGCCAGCCGATGAGGACAGAGACGCTGCAGAAAACGCCCTGGAGTCTGGCACACATTTGAGATTTTATTTTAGTTATAGCATTTAACAGTATGATGTTTTTATATGGTTAGGAAAAAAATGTCTTGATAAAAGTGAAAAAAAAAGAGAAAAGTTTAATAACTCATTAAACATTTGCAAATAAAGCAGCGTTTTCATCCTATCCCAGTGGGCATTTGATGTCAATTTAACATCAATATGACGTCAAACATTGGTCAAAATGACGTCACGAAATAGGTCAAAAACGAAAGTCATATTGAGGTCAAAGTGGCGATGATGTCAAGATTTTGACCTCTGCTGATGTCATTTTGATGTTATTTTGATGTCATGCTTTGTTGGCATTTGATGTCAATTCTACATCTATTTACATCAGGATGTCATTGATGTTGATGTCATTTTAATGCTATTTTGATATCATTTAATATCAAGCTTCCATATCAATTTAACATAAATGTGACATCAAACCTTGACTGTTTTTCAAAGAGTGTCTGAAGCAGTGTTAAAGTTAATGAGATAATTAAGTGATTAATTGAGTGAGGATTGACCATTATTGAAGACACCTGATGATAACAAGCAGAATCACTGAAGGAGAAAATCTAAATTTTAAGTCACCATTATGGTGATCAATGTTTGCTTTAGTTAGTTGGGCTCTTGACCCTTAAGGTTTTAACTTTAGATTTTGTTTGGCTGCTGAAACTTAGTGGTGAACAGCATGATGAATAAAGAGTAAAGGTGATCTGATGGTGTTGGTTATGTTATGACATAATCATCATATGACCTGTATCACTGAACTCATTTAGAGCCTAATCTCTGACTTAGATTAATATTGGTAATTACAGCATCACAGTGATTCTATAGCATAAAATCCAGATTTTTTTATTTATTCCAAAGGATTTCCTAAAAGGTTTTCTGATAAAACAAGTGTTACTTTTAGGCACATACAGATATCTAGAATCAGTGTATGAATCTCAACAATGGTGACAAACAAAATAATCAATTAGGAAAAGGAAATTACTAAGACAAATCAGATGATCATTTATTTATACTGCAATGCATGATGAGAGCCATGAATGAGTTTTTATTGGTGGCACCCAGAATGCACTGCAACATGCTTTATTATTGTCACCATTGTTGAGATTCACAGGCTGATTATTGATGTCAGTGTGTCTAAATAAAATACTTTTTCAAAGTCTTCTGGTCAGAACAATTTTTAATAAATATTTTGGATTATATTGAAAATGCTGATAATTGTTTGCTATAGAATCAAATGTTGCTGTAATTAACAAGGTAAAGAAACTCAAAATGACCAGGTCAAGTGATGACGATGTCAAAACACAACCAACACCACTGATCACCTTTTCTCAATGTTTATCTGGCAGTTATACCTAATTACATCAGCCAAACAAAATTTAAATATTAATAGTTTAAGGTTCAAGAGCCCAAATAAAGAAAACACCGATCACCATAATGGTGGCTTAGAAATTTGATTTGCTCCTTCGGTGATTCTGCTTGTTAACATCAGGTGTCTTCAATAATGGTCAATCATCACTCAATTAATCACTTAATTAGCAGAGGTCAAAATCTTGACATCAAATTGACATCGACACTTTGACGTCAATATGATTTTCATTTTTGACCTATTTCGTGATGTCATTTTGACATCAATGTTTGATGTGTGACGTACACCAGAAGCGCTGCGCTGTTACACTACGTGAACTCTCGAGGCCCACAGAGAAGGAAATGAATAGTTGAATAAAGTCGTTATTTTCGTTTGTTTTTTGCGCACAAAAAGTATTCTCGTCGCTTGATAAACTTAAAGATAGAGCCACTGTAGTCACTCGGACTATTTAAACAATGTCTTTTACTTTTCTTGGCCGGCCAGTTTCGATCCCTTAGAAGCCTATGGAGGAGTGATCCAGCTCTTCCAGAGTTTACATTTTGGGGTGAATTAACCCTTTAAGTAAAGATCATGTTCCATGAAGATATTTTGTCAATTTCCTTCCGTAAATATATAAAAACATTTATTATTGTGAGTGAATGCAGCACAATCGCGAACATAACTGGACAACTTTAAAGGCGATGTTCTCAATGTTTCGATTTTTTTGCACCCTCAGGTTCCAGATGTTCAATAGTTGTATCTCGGCCAAATATTGCCCTATCCTACCAAACCATAAATCAACGGAAAGCTTATTTATAAAGCTTTCACATGATGTATAAATCTCAATTTCAAAAAATGTGACTGGTTTTGTGGTCCAGGGTCACATTTGTTCCCACAGCTGTGGTTTATGAAGCTCTGTTGGACGACAGTGAAAGGACTGTCTTCCTCCCTGATCACGAGGACATCAAATCAAATCTCACATAATCAGATCAAAGCAAAGCAATGCAGTTCTTATTGCTCTGGGGTGTTTCTGTTTCACAAAGTGCTTATTGTTGCACAGTTTTACAATCCGTTCATATTATTTGGTTTTGACTGGTCATGGCTTGAGGTGAAAGCGCACATCCAGCAGTAACACACCTGGAAAACATGCTGGTTTTACCATTCAAAGAGCAGTGGACATGAGTCTGGGTGCGGCGATGATTCATCTGAGATCGAACACAAAAACACTCTCTGATCCAGCAGTCGACATCAGGGCTCAGTGTCTAATTACCCATTTGTGTAACGACAGGCCTGGAGCCCAGTATTATTGTGAAGACTATATGGGTTGTAAAATCAAAAGTTTATTTTATTAAGCTGACCTACTTATGGTTTGCAGAGTTTCTGCTGTTTTCTGAGCACACTGTGACCTGACCATTAAAGTGACATCAATCAAAATAAGATTTTTGCATGTGCACAATAACTCTAGACATTAACCAGACGCACTAACATGAGCGTGGAATTACTGTTGTACTTTAATAATACTCGTCCCAGAAATAGTCCTTTTAATGTTTATTTGTGAGCTGATCTGCTGTCGATCGTCACTGAATTAAATATAGACACGAGAGTTTAACGTTCCATCGTCTCTGCGTCACAGATAAACCATCACACCGGCAGCTCTGAGCACACACTTCCTGTTATCGTGCATCTCTGTGGGACTGTTTGAGGTCAGATGCCCGTCTGCACACACACACACACACACACACACTCAGCAGGGTGAATCCGCAGCGTGGGTTTGTTTTGAAGCTCAGAGCGTTCCCGTGCTCCATCCCAGGGAATGTTGGGTGTGGACGGGAGCTTCAGGCCTGAGTCAGAAACT